GGCAACAAAGCTTCAACTATCAGTGTATTTAACTTCTAAATTGTTGTATTATACTCAGGTGACCGTTAAGGCTCTTGGGCCTCTTGTTTTATAAAAAATCACTAGCAATAGGAACAAGATGGTTGTTTTTATAGAAATAGAAGGGATATTATTATTTTTTCACTCGATGAAACGAATAGTAAGATGTCCAACTGAAAAAAAATTTGCAACAAGCGCCACCTTTCGGGAAAAACATTCCACGAAGGTGACATGAAATGGTGAAATGATCGGTTTTTGGTGAAATGTCGGTTGAATATGATTAAATGACTGATAAAAACTGCAATAACTGTGGATTTCAATTTATAGGATTACTAATACCTTATAAACATAGATGTTTTGAGTTCAATTCTTACCGCCACGGTTTTATAACCAATTTTATCGAAAATATATCGGAGGAAATTGGCCGCCATAAGTGATGGGTTTCGTAGTATACGGTATACCACACCCGATTGTTTTTTGTTTTGTTTTTAGTCCCGTATTATTTATATGAACATTTCATGTATTGCACTATGGTTTACGTATTATGCCATTTTTGATTGAGAAAACTAGTCTAAGACAAAGTATTGATATTTAAAAAAGCTCACAAAATGAAAGAAACTAAAAAAAAATTCAGGTATTAAATTATATAGAATTATCCAATAATCATCCCTTTCTAAATTCTCATTCATTATTTCACCTTTCTACTCTGATAATAATGAAAGAATAAAAGAAAACAACATTTTTCAACCTCAAAGAATTAGGATATTTTTATTTTTATTTTTATTCCTGATTTTCTCTCAACATGTTTGTTGAATTTTTCTGAGAATTTTTTTTGAGTTTTCTGTCTTCAATGTGATGCGTCTCTCAGGCCTTCAGGCCTTTGATTTTCTTTGTTCCTCTGATCTGCCTCTGGGTATTAAGAAATCAAAGTAAGCATGCTAAGTGTATTATTAAGTTATGATTAGCAATGATGCCTCTTTCAAAATTGGGATTTTCATGGCCTCTGGTATAAAACACAAACCAAATACAATTGTTGGAAAGTTGTTGCATGGTTTATAGTCATTTATAGGGGAAATAGCAGTTGTTCAACTTAGTCATTTTTATGTATAATGTAGCTTTACATCGTTTCTCAGGATAACCACTGTAACAGTTTTCAAAATCAGAAGGTCTTGTTTGTTTTGCATATGAGGTTATAAACTTTCATTATGGATGTGCATGGTGCTCTGATTTTGAATTTAGATCATTTTTGGAAAATGAGCGGTTGTTGAACTTCATCATTTTTGATACCAAATATTGCTGGTTTTGGTATGTCAAATGTCTGGATAATCCCATCAACAGTTTTCAAAGTAAGGAGTTTGTTGTGCAGAGAAATTGTACATATTTATATAAGAGATATGTTTAGTACATTGATTTTGATTTTTGGTCAGTGACTGGGAAAATACCAGGTGTTTGTGCAAAGTATTGCTTATGGGGTATGCAAATCAGTTGTACATTTGGAAGAGAGTCGATAAGTGTTTGGACTCTGTTTTGGATCATTTATGACAAAAATACTAGTTGTTGGTATTCTTGATTTGTCAACTCTTGCATAAAGGGTTCATTTTATTTGTCCAGATAGCTCCTACATATCTAAACCTAAGGACATTTTTCCTGAATGTTTTTACATCATTGATATTAATGGCACCTTGGTTTGGTATTTGGTCATTTATGAAAAAGATACAAACTGTTGAACATGTCAATTTGATGCAAAATATTACTTTTAGGGTACAACATTTCTGCAGATAATACCTTCTTCAGTTTTCTGCTAAAAGAAATCCCATGAAAGGGAATATAGGTTTCGAATTGTTCAAGTCTAATAAACATACAATAGAGATGCACATTGCACTTGGAGTTCGATTTTTGGTCATTGATAAGAAAGTACCAGTTGATTAATTTAGCCATTTAATGTCTTATATTTAGCCATTTAATGTCTTATATTACTAACAAGTGCACTTCAAGTTGATTTTTCCAGATAACTCCTTCAACAGTTTTAAAGATATCATTATACGCCCGTCTTTAGACGGGACGTATTATGTTATGGCGTTCATGTCCGTCCCTCTGTCCGTCTGTCCGTCCGTCCGTCTGTTAGCTTTTATCGTGTCCGGCTCATAACTTTAATACTATTAGGCCTAGGATTATCAAATTTTGTCAGATGATACTTCTTGGGTAGAAGGTGTGTCGCACATTGAAAGTAGGTTGCTCTGACTTTTGATTAAGATGCTATGGCCAAATATGGAAAAATCCTGTCCGGCTCATAACTAGAAAACTATAAGACTTAGAATCATCAAACTTGGTCAATTTATGCATCTTAGGTAGAAGGTGTGTCGCGACCTATTTCAAGGTCACTGTGACCTTTAATTTAAGTGAAATTTAAAAAAAAAAAAAATTTTATTAGATTACACAATCCCAAAAAATGCAAGAGTGTTGCAGTATCCTTATTAAAAAAATGTTAAATCAAGAAAATACTTATTTTTTTCATAATATACTTTACAACAATCTATAGCAAATGTAATGTTAGAAGGAAAAATTCCACCTCTCCAATGGGTGTAATTATCAAGCACTGGTCAAGAAGAATTTGATAACAGAAAATTTCATGTCAAATTAGAGAGAAATTAATGAGTTTAGTGTGAGGAGCTAACTGGTAGAGCATCTCTGATCAAGCAGGTGTTATCTATATCTCTTGGGAACTGGGCAAAAAGAATCAGCTGTGTTGGATTAAACAGTTGGCTAGCCAAACTTTTAAAATGAATTTGGTGAAAAGTTAAGTAATTAAAACTTATTTGATATTGTATAACAAATTATAATTTGAATAATATAATTAATATAATTATTATATAATATAATTAAAACTAATTATACTCGGGATTGCAGCTTAAAACCAGTCTGACATTAAATCTAAAAAAAAATCAAGTATTTAAAAAAAAAAAGTTTTTAATTATGGTAGATAGTCCCTACAAATCTAAGAGTAAATTGCAGGAACCTTATTAAGGATGTTGCATCAAGATTACACAAGTTTTTTGTTTCTTTTTATAAATCTTTGTAACAAATTTAAAAAAAAAATCTTTGTTTTCAAATTTAATTTCAGAATGACATAAATATGCATTTTTATTGCACTACAAAGCATATAGTGTGTATAGATTTATTCATCCTTTGGGATTAATGAGTGGACATGCATCCATGCAGTTAAAGATTAATTAATGAGTTCAGTGTAGGGAGGCTAGCTGTCTCAATCATTTCTGTTAGATGATCTCTGATCAAGCAGCTGTTATCTGTATCATTTGGGAATTAGACAGAAGAACTGCTGGTCAGTTTATAGCATATGTCATTTGATGGCCAGCCTTTTATTTTAATATGAATTTGATATAGATTAAGTTGTTAAGACTAAATTAATATTGTTTAATATGATATTTTATGCCCCCGGATCGAAAGATCCCGGGGGTATATTGTTTTTGTTCTGTCTGTCTGTTTGTCTGTTTATCTGTTTGTCTGTTTGTCCGTTTGTCTGTTTGTCTTTTTGTCTGTCTGTTGTCAACTTTAACATTGCCCATAACTTTTGATTGGTTGGAGCTATAACTTTCATATTTCACATGTGTATTCCTTGTGACAAGACCTTTTTTTGGGTACCATCATATTTGACCTTTTGACCTTGACCTTGGAGTTTTACCCACTTTTGCAAAATTTTATGAGACTTTAACCTTGGCCATAACTTCTGAACAGTTGGTGCTTGGGGTTTCAAACTTCACATGTGTATTCTTTGTGACAAGGCCTTCCTTTGGATACCAACAAATTTGACCTTTTGACCTTGACCTTGGAGTTTGACCTACTTTTGCAAAACTTTAACCTTGGCCATAACTTTTGAACAGTTGGTGCTTGGGGTTTCAAACTTCACATGTGTATCCCTTGTGATAAGACCTTCCTTTGGATATCAACCACTTTGACCCTTTGACCTTGACCTAGGACTTTGACCTACTTTTGAAAAACTTTAACCTGGGCCATAACTTTTGAATGGTTGATGCTAGGGCTTTCATACTTCACATATGTAATCCTTGTGACAAGACCTTCTTTGGATACCAACCACTTTGACCCTTTGACCTTGACCTAGGACTTTGACCTACTTTTGAAAAACTTTAACCTTGGCCATAACTTTTGAATGGTTGGTGCTAGGGCTTTCATACTTCACATATGTAATCCTTGTGAAAAGATCTTCCTTTGGATACCGACCACTTTGACCCTTTGACCTTGACCTAGGACTTTGACCTACTTTTGTAAAACTTTAACCTTGGCCATAACTTTTGAATGGTTGGTGCTAGGGCTTTCATACTTCACATATTTAATCCTTGTGACAAGATCTTCCTTTGGATACCAACCACTTTGACCTTGACCTTGACGTTTGACTTTTATCTAGAAAACTTTAACCTTCGCCATAACTTTTGAACAGTTGTATCTAGGTCTTTCAAATTTCACAGGTGTATTCCTCGAGACAAGACCTTTCTTAGGGTATCAACATTTTTTTTATCTTTTAGCCTGGATTTTGACTTGCATTTGAAGAAACTTTAACCTTCGCCATAAGCTGCCATACGGGGGCATCAGTGTTTCACAAACACATCTTGTTATTTAATATTTTGAAAATATCAACTAATTCAGAGCATCATGTCTCACAAATCTGAAAGCTGGGGGGGGGGGGGGGTGCAGATGGACATTTGTCAAGCTCTAACACAACCAGTTGAGGATCTATATAAATGTAATATTTGTTATAATTAATGCCTACACCACAGGAGATGTATAAACAATTATTAAAAGGAATGGAAAAATTATTGAAATCCTTGCATCAAGGTTGACATGATTTTCTTGCACTCTAAACTGTTTATGACAATTGAACAATATTTGACTGGCGTATCATGCTGTGGCGGGGCACTTTATTTTTTTTATTTTTTTTTATTTTGCAGATCAAAGAAATGTTCATCAGAGATGAATATGATGCTTCGACTTTGATTTTTGATCATCTATAAAGGTACCAGTTGTTAAAATTATCACATCATTATTATGCAAAATATTGCATACTGGGTTCATCATTTATTTGGATAACTTCTCCAACAGTTTTTACAATGAGAAGTTTTTGGTTTGTAGTTCAATAGAACATACATTAAGTATTTGTGTAGTACTTGGCTTTAGATTCCTGGTCATCTATGGTTAAAATAGCAGTTATTAAACTTCGGTCATTTTTATGCAAAATATGAGAGAGTACAAGATTTGTTTGGATACATCTTGCTAAATTGTTGAAAATAAGAAATTAACATTTTGCAGGTAAATTGTACATTACATATATTAAGGGTCCACTGAATAATTTTGAATTCTGATGTTTGATGGGGGAAAATAGCAGAGGTTGAACATGTTCTATCTTCCAGAGTACTCCTGCAATTGGGGATCATTTATCTATCCCTGAAAAATGAACTTGGTACCTAAATTTTGAGTTTTGATCATTTAGGAGAGGTATATTAGCAGATGAACTGGGTGAATTTTATGCAAAGTATTGATTACAGTTCTCATCATTTATCCAGTTCTCCTCTCTTGTAGTATTCAGGATAAAGATTTTTTTTTGCAGGTTAATTGCACATACAATGATAAACAAGATAGTTGAGTTTTGATTTCAGATCATTTATAGGGAAAATAGCAGTTGTTGAACTTAGTCATTTGTATGTATAATGTAGCTTTTACATCGTTTTTAGCTCACCTGAGCTCAAAATTCAAGTGAGCTTTTCTGATCACATTTTGTATGTAGCCCGTCTGTCCATCCGTCCCTCTGTCTGTAAACTTTCACATTTTCGACTTCTTCTCTAGAACCACGGGGCCAATTTCAACCTAACTTGCTACAAAGCATCCTTGGGTGAAGGGTTTAAAGTTTGTCCAAATGAAAGGCCATGCCCTCTTTCAAGAGGAGATAATTAAGAATTAGTGAAAAATAAATAGCACCTTTTAAAAATCTTCTTCTCAAGAACCACAGGGCCAGGAAAGATAAAACTCATGTGGAAACATCCTCAGGTAGTGAAGATTCAAGTTTGTTCAAATCATGACCCCCAGGGTAGGGCGGGACCACAACAATGAAGGATCCAAGTTTCACATATATATATATAGGAAAAATCTTAAAAAATCTTCTTCTCTAGAACAGCAAAGCCATAATGAGTCATATTTATATGGAAGCATCCTCAGGTAGTGTAGATTCAAATTTGTTCAAATCATGACCCCCGGGGGTAGGATGGGGCCACAATGGAGGATCAAAGTTACATAGAAATATATAGGAAAAATCTTTAAAAATCTTCTCAAGAACAAAGCCCTTATTGGTCATATTTATATGGAAGCATCCTTAGGCAGTGAAGTTTCAAGTTTGTTCACATCATGACCCCTCGGAGTGGGGTGGGTCCACAATGGAGGATTTAAGTTTTACATAGAAATATATAGGAAAAATTTTAAAAATCTTCTCAGAAACAACAAAGCCCTGATTGGTCATATTTATGTGGAAGCATCCTTAGGGTGTAGATTTTATTTTGTTCAAAAAATGAACCCCGGGGGAAGGGTGGGGCCCACAATGGAGGGTCAAAGTCTTACATAGAAATATATAGGAAAATATCTTCTGAAGAAGAACTGCAAAGCTATGATTATTCATTGTGATATGGAATCATCCTCAGGTAGTGTAGATTCAAGTTTGTTAAAATGATAACCCCCCGGGGATAGGGTTGGGCCACAATGGGGGATCGAAAATTTTACATAGAACATATAGGAGAATATCTTCTTCTCAAGAGCAGAAAATCATGTTTAGCATTTTGATATGGAAGCATCCTCAGGTAGTGTAGATTCAATTCTGTTCAAATGATGACCCCCTGGGGGAGGGTGGAGCCACAGTGGGGGATTGAAAGTTACATAAGAACATATAGAAAAAAGAAATGCTTCTCAAGAACAGAAAAGCTATGTTTAGTCATATTGATATGGAAGCATCCTCAGGTAGTGTAGATTTAAGTTTGTTCAAATGATGACCCATGGGATAGGGAGGAGCCACGATGGGAGATCAAATTTTTACAAAGGAATATATGGGAAAATAAAAAAAAAAATCTCAAGTACAACAAAGCCATTTGTTATATTGACATGGAAGCATGTAGTTTGATACTTGGTACTTGGATTTAGACTTTGATCAATTATGGTTCAAATAGCAGTTATTGAACTTCAGTCATTTTTGTGCTGCAGAATATAAGAGAGTACAACATTTGTTTGGATACATCTTGCTACATGTAAATTGTTGAAAATAAGAAATTTGAGATTTTCAGCTTCTTTGAATCTTTATTAAGCCTTAATAAAGACTAAGAAAAACAAACTATTATCACAAAAACATGACACCTTGTTGCCACTTATGCTATAAATAAACTATTAAGAATTTATCTCTAAGTAAGTGGTTACCATGGGTACATTTGGAATACATTTTAGATGCTGAAAAATGCTGAAAAACGCTAAATATTCACTAATGATAGATGTTACATGATCAAACTCAATCAACAACCAAAGAAAAACAATAAAAATATTTGACCTTAAGTAATTAGGTATTGGCAATATTATTCTAAAAATAACCTTTATGGTTGCCATGGTAACACAGTGTAACCATGCAAAATCTGTTGCTAAGATTGGGTTAATGCTACTATCTTGAGGGAAAACAATAAATTTCATGACTGGCACATATACATCCTTAGGACCTTGCAACACCGACAACATAAGAAAAATTGGGATTAATTGTTACTTTGCAGTGTAACCATGGAAACAACGTACCAGTTGTTTAAAGTGATATTTTTTTTGCTGCTTTAGGAATTTACTTACCTTTTAATCAAGAAACATATTATTTGACTCACCTTGAATAGTATTTATATCTGGTAGAACTAAAGTTGAGTATCATATATTGATAAAGTTTGTTGAAAAATACAACACTGTTGCTATGGTTACCAAGAAGAGAAAATGCTCGATTTTGTTAATTTTATATCAACATTAAATCCCATGTGCCAGCTTTTTGCATCCAGTTAGAGATTGGGTGGTAGTCGAAATTGAAAGTCAAGTTAGTTGTTCATATATATCAATCATAAAAGTTTTGGGAATCTACATACAAGGGTACGTATCCAAGGAAACAGAATATTTTTCAGATTTTTATGCATATTTTCTTTGGCTAATTTCCATAGCAACGCTCTATTTAAAGAATTGAATTTGAATTTTTTGAAATGTGAAAATTAGGGTCACACCAACGCCTTAAAAAATTGATCATCAGTTATATAGAAATACGCTTTTTAAAAAGATAGGATAAGATTAAAACACTAAGAGAGTAAATTTAAAATCCCTTTGTGGTATTAAAACCATGGCAACCATTGCCAACCTATAAGAAATATCATATTTCGTCCTTGGTATATGTGACAAGGATCTCTTGTCTATTATATGCTTGCATTTCAACCTATAATTGTTTTTATTCTTAAGTGTATGACTTTATAAAATTAAATGAACAAAATTATTACTTTTGAATACTTTGTTTCCATAGTAACGTATGTAATAGTTGACTTACCAAACATGTTTATCATGCATTTAAGACATCAGTCCTTCAACTTTCAGAAACAGTCATTGCCACTTGTTTGCTTTGCTGCAAACGTTAACTGTGGGACTCTGAACATGTTGAAAAATGCCATTTTTCAAACTTTAGGACATGTTGCTATGGTAACCATGACACATAGCAACCAATTTTTGCCTGATTTGAGTTTACATTATCAAAGATTTTTATCATAGAGAGTTTGGAGAAATTCTGAGACTATGCGTGCCACAGCTCCTATATAAAAGTTAAAGTCATTACAGAGAATGGCTCTTAATATTTTGCAGGTAATTTGTACATTACATGTATTAAGGATGTGCTGAGTACTTCAATTCTGAATTTTGATGTGTGATGGGGGAAAATAGCAGTGGTTGAACATGTTCATTTTTCCAGACTACTCCTACAATTGGGGATCAATTATCTATCCCTGAAAAACGAACTTGGTACCTAAATTTTGAGTTTTGATCATTTAGGAGAGGGATATTAGCAGATGAACTGTGTGAATTTTATGCAAAGTATTGATTACAGTGTGCTCATCATTTATCCAGTTCTCTTCTCTTATAGTGTTCAGGATAAGATGGGTTTTTTTTTTACAGATCAGTTGTACATACACTAATGATGTACAAGATAGTTGAGTTTTGATTTCAGATCATTTATAGGGAAAATAGCAGTTGTTGAACTTAGTCATTTGTATGTATAATGTAGCTTTTACATCGTTTTTCAGGATAAGCAGTCTAATAGTTTTCAAAATCAGAAGATGTTTTTTGTTTTGCAGATGAGGTTATTAACTTTCATTAAAGATGTGCATGGTGCTCTGATTTTGAATTGAGATCATTTTTGGGAAATGAACGGTTGTTGAACTTCATCAGTTTCGGTGCCAAATATTGCTTATTTTGGCATATCATATGTCTGGATAATCCCATCAACCGTTTTCAAAGTAAGGAGTTTGTTGTGCAGAGAAATTGTACATATTTATATAAGAGATATGTTTAGTGTTTAGTACATTGATTTTGATTTTTGATTAGTGACTGGGAAAATACCAGATGTTTGTGCAAAATATTTCTTATAGGGTATTGCATCCTACAGTTTTTGGGATAGGATTTTTTTATTGTGCAGATCAGTTGTACATTTGGAAGAGAGTTGATAAGTGTTTGGACTTTGTTTTGGATCATTTATGACAAATATACTAGTTGTTGGTATTCTTGATTTTTATGTCAACTCTTGCATAAAGGGTTCATTTTATTTGTCCAGGAAGTTCCTACATATCTAAACCTAAGGACTTTTTTCCTGAATGTTTTTACATCATTGATATTCATGGCACCTTGGTTTGGTTTTTGGTCATTTATGAAAAAGATACAAACTGTTGAACTTGTCAATTTGATGTAAAATATTACTTTAAGGGTACAACATTTCTGCAGACAATACCTTCTTCAGTTTTCTGCTAAAAGAAATCCATGAAAGGGGATATAGGTTTCTAATTGATCAAGTCTAATTTACATACAGCAGAGATGCCAATATACCTGGAGTTTGATTTTTGGTCATTGATTGGAAAATACCAGTTGATAAATTTAGCCATTGAATGTGTTATATGCTTACAAGTGTACATGATTTTTTCCAGACAACGCCTTCAACAGTTTTAAAGATATCATTTATTTTTATTTTGCAGATCAAAGAAACGTACATCGGAAAAGAATACGATGCTTCGACTTTGATTTTTGATCATCTTTAAAGGTACCAGTTGTTAAAATTAGTCACGTCATTTTTATGCAAAATATTGCATACTGGGTTCATCATTTGTTCAGATAACTTCTGCAACAGTTTTTACAATAAGAAGTTTTTGGTTTGCAGATCAAAAGTACATACATTAAGTATTTGCGTAGTACTTGGATTTAGACTACTGATCATTTATGCTTCAAATAGCAGTTATTGAACTTCAGTCATTTTTGTGCTGCAGAATATAAGAGAGTACAAGATTTGTTTGGATACATCTTGCTAAATTGTTGAAAATAAGAAATTAATATTTTGCAGGTAAATTGTACATTACGTGTATTAAGGATCTACTGAATACTTTAATTTTGAATTTTAATGTGTGATGGGGGAAAATAGCAGTGGTTGAACATGTTCATTTTTCCAGAGTACTCCTACAACTGTGGATCAATTATCTATCCTTGAAAAATGAACTTGGTACCTAAATTCTGACTTTTGATCATTTAGGAGAGGGATATTAGCAGATGAACTGGGTGAATTTTATGCAAAGAATTGATTACAGTGCTCATCATTTATCCAGTTCTCTTCTCTTACTGTGTTCAGGATGAGATGGTTTTTTTTTTTTTACAGATCAGTTGTACATACACTAATGATGTACAAGATAGTTGAGTTTTGATTTCAGATCATTTATAGGGAAAATAGCAGTTGTTGAACTTAGTCATTTGTATGTATAATGTAGCTTTTACATCGTTTTTTAGGATAAGCACTCTAACAGTTTTCAAAATCAGAAGATGTTTGTTTTGCAGATGAGGTTATAAACTTTCATTAAAGATGTGCATGGTGCTCTGATTTTGAATTGAGATCATTTTTGGGAAATGAACGGTTGTTGAACTTCATCAGTTTCGGTGCCAAATATTGCTCATTTTGGCATATCATATATCTGGATAATCCCATCAACAGTTTTGAAAGTAAGGAGTTTGTTGTGCAGAGAAGTTGTACATATTTATGTAAGAGATATGTTTAGTACATTGATTTTGATTTTTGATTAGTGACTGGGAAAATACCAGATGTTTGTGCAAAATATTTCTTATAGGGTATTGCATCCTACAGTTTTTAGGATAGGACTTTTTTAATGTGCAAATCAGTTGTACATTTGGAAGAGAGTTGATAAGTGTTTGGACTTTGTTTTGGATCACTTATGACAAATATACTAGTTGTTGGTATTTTTGATTTTTATGTCAACTCTTGCATAAAGGGTTAATTTTATTTGTCCAGAAAGCTCCTACATATCTAAACCTAAGGACTTTTTTCCTGAATGTTTTTACATCATTGATATTCATGGCACCTTGGTTTGGTTTTTGGTCATTTATGAAAAAGATACAAACTGTTGAACATGTCAATTTGATGCAAAATATTACTTTAAGGGTACAACATTTCTGTAGACAATACCTTCTTCAGTTTTCTGCTAAAAGAAATCCCATGAAAGGGATAATGGGTTTCTAATTGATCAAGTCTAATTTACATACAGCAGAGATGCCAATATGCTTGGAGTTTGATTTTTGATCATTGATACTAAAATACCATGTGATAAATTTAGCCATTTAATGTGTTATATTGCTTACAAGTGTACATGATTTTTCTAGACAACTCCTTCAACAGTTTTAAAGATATCATTTATTTTTATTTTGCAGATCAAAGAAACGTACATCGGAAATGAATATGATGCTTCGACTTTGATTTTTGATCATCTATAAAGGTACCAGTTGTTAAAATTAGTCACATCATTTTTCTGCAAACTATTGCATACGGGGTTCAACATTTGTTCGGATAACTTCTGCAACAGTTTTTACAATAAGAAGTTTTTGGTTTGCAGATCAAAAGTACATACATTAAGTATTTGCGTAGTACTTGGATTTAGACTACTGATCATTTATGCTTCAAATAGCAGTTATTGAACTTCAGTCATTTTTGTGCTGCAGAATATAAGATAGTACAAGATTTGATTGGATACATCTTGCTAAATTGTTGAAAATAAGAAATTAATATTTTGCAGGTAAATTGTACATTACATGTATTAGGGATCTACTGGTTACTTTAATTTTGAATTTTGATGTGTGATGGGGGAAAATAGCAGTGGTTGAACATGTTCATTTTTCCAGAGTACTCCTACAATTGGGGATCAATTATCTATCCCCTGAAAAGTGAACTTGGTACCTAAATTTTGACTTTTGATCTTTTAGGAGAGGGATATTAACAGATGAACTGTGTGAATTTTATGCAAAGTATTGATTACAGTGCTCATCATTTATCCAGTTCTCTTCTCTTATAGTGTTCAGGATAAGAGGTTTTTTTGATACAGATCAATTGTACATACACTAATGATGTACAAGATAGTTGAGTTTTGATTTCAGATCATTTATAGGGAAAATAGCAGTTGTTGAACTTAGTCATTTGTATGTATAATGTAGCTTTTACATCGTTTTTTAGGATAAGCACTCTAACAGTTTTCAAAATCAGAAGATGTTTGTTTTGCAGATGAGGTTATAAACTTTCATTAAAGATGTGCATGGTGCTCTGATTTTGAATTGAGATCATTTTTGGGAAATGAACGGTTGTTGAACTTCATCAGTTTCGGTGCCAAATATTGCTCATTTTGGCATATCATATATCTGGATAATCCCATCAACAGTTTTGAAAGTAAGGAGTTTGTTGTGCAGAGAAGTTGTACATATTTATGTAAGAGATATGTTTAGTACATTGATTTTGATTTTTGATTAGTGACTGGGAAAATACCAGATGTTTGTGCAAAATATTTCTTATAGGGTATTGCATCCTACAGTTTTTAGGATAGGACTTTTTTAATGTGCAAATCAGTTGTACATTTGGAAGAGAGTTGATAAGTGTTTGGACTTTGTTTTGGATCACTTATGACAAATATACTAGTTGTTGGTATTTTTGATTTTTATGTCAACTCTTGCATAAAGGGTTAATTTTATTTGTCCAGAAAGCTCCTACATATCTAAACCTAAGGACTTTTTTCCTGAATGTTTTTACATCATTGATATTCATGGCCCCTTGGTTTTTGGTCATTTATGAAAAAGATACAAACTGTTGAACATGTCAATTTGATGCAATATATTACTTTAAGGGTACAACATTTCTGTAGACAATACCTTCTTCAGTTTTCTGCTAAAAGAAATCCCATGAAAGGGATAATGGGTTTCTAATTGATCAAGTCTAATTTACATACAGCAGAGATGCCAATATGCTTGGAGTTTGATTTTTGGTCATTGATAAGAAAATACCATGTGATAAATTTAGCCATTTAATGTGTTATATTGCTTACAAGTGTACATGATTTTTCTAGACAACTCCTTCAACAGTTTTAAAGATATCATTTATTTTTATTTTGCAGATCAAAGAAACGTACATCGGAAATGAATATGATGCTTCGACTTTGATTTTTGATCATCTATAAAGGTACCAGTTGTTAAAATTAGTCACATCATTTTTCTGCAAACTATTGCATACGGGGTTCAACATTTGTTCGGATAACTTCTGCAACAGTTTTTACAATAAGAAGTTTTTGGTTTGCAGATCAAAAGTACATACATTAAGTATTTGCGTAGTACTTGGATTTAGACTACTGATCATTTATGCTTCAAATAGCAGTTATTGAACTTCAGTCATTTTTGTGCTGCAGAATATAAGATAGTACAAGATTTGATTGGATACATCTTGCTAAATTGTTGAAAATAAGAAATTAATATTTTGCAGGTAAATTGTACATTACATGTATTAGAGATCTACTGGTTACTTTAATTTTGAATTTTGATGTGTGATGGGGGAAAATAGCAGTGGTTGAACATGTTCATTTTTCCAGAGTACTCCTACAATTGGGGATCAATTATCTATCCCGTGAAAAGTGAACTTGGTACCTAAATTTTGACTTTTGATCATTTAGGAGAGGGATATTAACAGATGAACTGGGTGAATTTTATGCAAAGTATTGATTACAGTGCTCATCATTTATCCAGTTCTCTTCTCTTATAGTGTTCAGGATAAGAGGTTTTTTTTTTACAGATCAATTGTACATACACTAATGATGTACAAGATAGTTGAGTTTTGATTTCAGATCATTTATAGGGAAAATAGCAGTTGTTGAACTTAGTCATTTGTATGTATAATGTAGCTTTTACATCGTTTTTTAGGATAAGCACTCTAACAGTTTTCAAAATCAGAAGATGTTTGTTTTGCAGATGAGGTTATAAACTTTCATTAAAGATGTGCATGGTGCTCTGATTTTGAATTGAGATCATTTTTGGGAAATGAACGGTTGTTGAACTTCATCAGTTTGTGCAAAATATTTCTTATAGGGTATTGCATCCTAGAGTTTTTGGGATAGGATTTTTTTTATGTGCAAATCAGTTGTACATTTGGAAGAGAGTTGATAAGTGTTTGAACTTTGTTTTGGATCATTTATGACAAGAATATTAGTTGTTGGTATTCTATTTTTTATGCCAACTATTGCATACAGGGTTCTCTTTATTAGCTCTTCTTAGCCAAAGGTTCAAAGAGTTAATGCTATAGCCATTTGTTCAGTGTGCATAAACTTTTTAGAATATGGGCCATAACTCAAGAACCCCTTGGTCAATTATTGTGAAATTTGTCACAGGGTATCCTTGGCCCAAGGGCTCCCTAGTATACTAAAACTAGGGTTGTGACCCTTAAGCAAGGGGAGATAATTAGGAAAATAGAAACGAAAGTACTGGTTGCTAAGAAATCTTCTTCTCAAGAACCACTGGGCAGATTATCACCACAACTTATACAAAAGGATGAGGATATGTTGTAGATTAAAAATTGTTCAATGCATCACCCTGGGGCAAAGGGCGTGGTCTCAAGGTCACTTCAAAGTTGACCAAAAATTACATTTTATTAAAATGTTGATATTTTTGCTTACTATAAGGACTAGGATCATCAAATCTTGTCAGTTGATGCATCTAAGGACCTCATATCATGTTGACTTAAAAGTAAGTCACAGTTGCCTACTTTTTAAATTTTGCGGCCATTCTTTATCAAAATGATTAAGAGGTATATTTTGAACAATTTAATGCCTATGATCGTCAAACTTTGTCAGTTGATGTATATTGGTTCATCGAAGTACGTCAACTAAAAAGTAGGTCACCTTGACCTACTTTTTGAAATTTATGGCTAATCTTTTACAGAACAATTCAGGTCAATAATTTGATTACTGAGAGGCTCAGAATCATGAAATCTTGCAAGATGATGCATCTTGGGGCCATAAAACATATGTATTAAAACGTAGGTCACGGTGACCTACTTTTTGAACTTTGCAGGTATGCGATTTCAAAGCGGTTTAGAGGCATAATTTGGACATTTTTACGCCTATGATCATAAAACTTTGTAAGTTGATGTATCTTGGGTCATCGCAGTAGGTCGACTGAAAAGTAGGTCACCGTGATCTACTTTTCAATTTATATGACTATAATTAAATATTTTCAGGTGCTAATTGGCTTAGAATCATCAAACTTTGTCAGTTGATGCATCTTAGATCTTTGGAGTAGGTCAACTGAAAAGTAGGTCACCATGACCTACCTTTGAAAATTTATGGCTTTAATTAAATATTTCGGGTACTAATTGACTTAGAATCATCAAACTTTGTCAGTTGATGCATCTTGGGTCTTCGGAGTAAGTCGACTGAAAAGTAGGTCACCATGACCTACTTTTGAAAATTTATGGCTTTAATAATATATTTCAGAAACCAATTTGCTTAGAATAATCAAACTTTGTCAGTTGATGCATATTGGGTTCTTGGAGTAGGACAACTGAAAAGTAGGTCACCCTGACCTACTTTTGAAATTTTATGGCTGTATTTAATATTTTTGGTGTACTATACGGATTTGAATCATCAAATAGAAGTGATACCGTAGGTTGTACAGTTTATTAGTAGAGCGATTCAAGGCCCTTGGGCCTCCTGTTTGTCTAGATAGCTCCTACATATCTAAACCTAAGAACTTTTTCCTGAATGTTTTTATATCAGTGATATGCACATCCCCCCATGGCACCTTGGTTTGGTTTTAGGTCACATATGTAAAAGATACAAACTGTTGAACATGTCAAATTGATGCAAAATATTTTTAGGGTCCAACAATTCTGCAGATAATTTCTCTTTCAATTTTCTGCTAAAAGAAATCCCATGAAAGGGAATATAGGTTTCTAATTGTTCAAGTCTAATGAACATACAATAGAGATGAACATGGTACTTTGATTTTGATTTTGGTCATTGACAAAAAACTACCAGTTGATAAATTTGACCATTTTTTTTTTTTTTTTTTAAATTAATTAATTTATTTATTTATTTTTTTGTATACAAGTGTACATGATTTTTCTAAATAAGTCCTTCAACAGTTTTAAAGATATCATTTTTTTAAAAAAATAAAAAAAAACATACATCAGATATTAATATGACGCTTCAACTTCAATTTTTGATCATCTGTAAAGGTACTGGTTTTTAAAATCAGTCATTTTGATGCAAAATATTGCATACTGGGTTCATTGTTTACTCGGATAACTTCTCCAATAGTTTTCATAATAAGAAGTTTTGGTTTGGAGATCAATTTGTTCGTACATTTAGTATTTGCTTAGTACTTGGATTAAGACTTCTAATCATTATGGTTCAGATAGCAATTATTGAACTTCAGTCATTTTTGTGAAAAATAAAAGAGAATACAACATTGGTTTGGGTACATCCTGCTTGTACATATACATTCTTTTTTCCAGAGTACTCCTACAATTGTTGATCAATTATCTATCTGTCATAAATTAACATGGTACCTAAATTCTAGATTTTTGATTATTTAGGAGAGAAAAATAGGAATTTTTTATTGTGCAAATCAGTTGTACATTTGGAAGAAAAGTGTTTGGATATAGCTTTTGATCTTCTATGACAAAAATACGAGTTGTTGGTATTCTTGATTTTTATGCCACCTCTTGTATATAGGGTTCAATTTTTTGTTCTGACAGCCCAACACTTCTTAATCTAAGAACTTATTTTCCCAGATATTTTTACATGATACATGTGCATGGCACCTTGGTTTGATTTTTGGTCATTTGTGAAAAAGATACAAGCTGTTGAACGTAGTCAACTTGATGCAAAATATTACTTTTAGGGTACAACATTTCTGCAGATTTGTCCTTTTTCTGTTTACTGCTAAAAGAAATCTATGAAAGGGATAATATGTTTTTATTGTTAAAGTCTAATGAACATACATTAAAGTCAAATGAGCTTACATAAGATATGAACATTGTACTTGGATTTTGATTTTTGATCATTGATATCATAAGAAAATACCTGTTGATAAATATATCCATTTGATGTGTTATATTGCTTACATTTGTACTTCTGAGCAGAAGGCTCAGAGAGCTAATGCTATATCCATTTGTGCGGTGTGCGTAAACTTTCTAGAATATGGGCCATAACTCAAGAACCCCTTTGCCAATTATTGTCAAATTTGTCACAGGTATCCTTGACCGAAAGACTCCCGTTTTTATTAAATCTAGGGTTGTGACCCTTAAACAAAGAGAGATAATTTGGTTAATAAAACCAAATGTACTGGGTGCTAAAAATCTTCTCAAAAAACCACTGGGCAGATTATCACCAAACTTACACATTAGGTTGAGGATATGCTGTAGATTAAAATTTGCAAGGGGAATCGCCCTGGGGCAAAGGCGTGGTCTCATGGTCACTTCAAAGTTGACCAAAAATTACAATTTATTAAAATGTTAATAATTTGCTTACTGCAAGGTCTACGATGATTAATCTTTATAAGTTGTTGCATCTTGGGTCATCGGAGTACGTCAACTAAAAGAAGGTCACCTTGACCTACTTTTTGAATTTTATGGGTAATCTTTTAAAAACATTGAATTTCATTAATTCGAATGCTGAGAGGTTTAGAATCATTTAATCTTGTAAGATGATGCAGCTTGGCGCCATGAAACAAATTTATGAAAAAGTAGGTCACCTTGACCTACTTTTGAACTTTGCAGGCATTCGATTTCAAAGCGTTTTAGAGGCATATTTTGGACATTTCAAGGCCTATGATCATAAAACTTTGTAAGTTGATTCATCTTTGGTCCTCAAAAAACGTCAACTGAAAAGTAGGTCATCATGACCTACTTTAGAAAATTTTTTGTTATATTTAAATATTTTGAGTACTATTTGGTTTGGAATCATCAAACTTTTTCAGTTGATGCATCTTGGGTCTTTGGAGTAAGTTAACTGAAAAGAAGGTCACCGTGATCTACTTTTGAAATTGTATGGCTTTATCTAAATTTCAGGTACTATTTGGTTTTGAATCATCAAACTTTGTCAGTTGATGCATCATCGGTCCGCAGAGTTAGTCGACTAAAAAGTAGGTCGCTGTGACCTATTTTTGAAATTTTATGGCTTTATTTAAATATATCAGGTACTAATTGATTTAGAATAATCAAATTTTGTAAGTGGGTGCATCTTTTGTCCTTGGAGTATGTCAAATATGTAGATCACTCAGACCTACTCTTGGAATTTTAAGGCTATATTTGAATAATTTCGTGTACTTATTTACTTAGAGTCATCAAAAATTGTTGGTTAATGTATCTTGGATGTTAGGAGTACGTCGACTAAGAAGTAGGTCACTGTGACTTGATTAAATATTTTTTTCAGGTACTAATTGGCTTAGAATCATCAATCTTTGCCAGTTGATGCATCTTGGGTCCTCAAAGTATGTCAACTAAAAAGTAGGTCACTGTGACCTACTGTTGAAATTTTATGGTTATAATTAAATATTGTTAGGTATCAATGGGCTTAGAATCAAAAAACTTTGTCAGTTGATGCATCTTGGGTCCTCAAAGTATGTCAACTGAAAAGTAGGTCACTGGGACCTACTGTTGAAATTTTATGGTTATAATTAAATATTGTTAGGTATCAATTGGCTTAGAATCAAAAAACTTTGTCAGTTGATGCGTCTTGGGTCCTCAAAGTATGTCAACTGAAAAGTAGGTCACTGTGACGTACTGTTGAAATTTATGGTTATAATTAAATATTTTTAGGTATCAATTGGCTTAGAGTCATCAAACTTTGTCAGTTGTTGCATCTTGAGTCCTCAGAGTATGTCAACTGAAAAGTAGGTCATTTTGACCTACTTTTGAAATTTTATGGCTTTATATAAATATTTCAGGTACAGTTTGGCTTAGAATCATCAATTTTAGATAGTTGCTGCATCTGGGGTCCTCAGAAAATGACAAATGATAAATAGGTCACCATGACCTATCTCAGGTGCTAATTGACTTAGAATCATATTGGGTTCTCAGAGTGTTTTATATAAAATGACCTACTTTTTGAATTTAAGGGCTTTATCTAAATATATAGGATACATAGAGGCTTCAAATAGAAGTGATAGGTTGTACAATTTATCACTAGCGCATTTCAAGGCCCTTGGGCCTATTGTTCTAGATAACTGCTTCAACAGTTTTATGATATTTTTTTTAATATTGCAGATTCAGTATATGATATACATCAGAGAGAAGCATGATGCTTGATTTTGACTGTCTATTTGAAAGGTACCAATTGATCTTATTCATTTCTAATTCAAATATTGCTTGTAAGTTTCATCATTTGTTTAGATAGCTTTCATATTTTATGAAATTGGGAACTTATTTTTTCAAATAATTATGTGTACGTCAGTGATTTTTATTGCACTTTGATTTAGGTTTTTGGTCATTTAGAAAAATACAAGCTGTTGAACGTTGTCAATTTGATGCATAATATTGCATTTAGGGTAATTTCTCCTTCGGTTTTTCTCTTTGAAGAGTTTTCCATTAAAGGGGATTTAAGTTTTCATTTTTTTTAATTGAAATCACTATACAATGGAGATGAACGTGGAACTTGGATTTTGGTTTTTCATCATTTAAAAAAGAGATCGCATTTTTTAAATTTAGTTGGTAAACTTTTTAAGAACTCATTTTTATGCAAAATATTGCATTTTTTGATAACTTCTGCAACAGTTTTCAAGATAATACGTTTTTGTCATGCAGATCAACTGTACATACATCAAAGATGTTCATTGAAATATGATTTTAATACATCATTTAATGGGGGCAATCACAGTTGTTAAATTGAGTCATTTTTATCGGAATGTTTGATATATCTTTTTTCAGTTTTTTTTTTTAAATCATCTTTTGCAGTTTGATTTTGGCTTGGATTACCAAAGAACCTGACAAAAAAATGGGGACATTTCATGCGACCAGGATAAGATGCTGCTTGCAATCGGCATTGCTGATCATTCACAGACAAGAGCATCAGGAGTTCAAGCTAAAACAATAATTGCCTCTAAATACCGCATGGGGAAGAACTAGACACCAAATTGTTGTTATTTGTCGTAAAGCTGTGAATATTGACTTGATTACTCATTATACAATACAAAATAAAGTTCTTATTGTTCAGAAAAAAAAAATATCTTATTTGGAGTTATATTTCTAGATAACTCTCTTTGAAAAAAAAATGCTTATGAATACTTTAAAGGGAAGGACCTAGAGAAATTTTACTTTAAGAAAGCTTTGAAAATGGACCAAATTGCTCATCACATTAAGCTTCTTTGAATAGTGGCTATATCTGTAGAATCCCTATTTGTCAAATTTGTTACAGAGTATCCTTGGCCAAAGGACTTTCATTTGTACCTAAAATTTGGATATAATCCTTTAACAAAGGGAGATAATTAGGAAAATAAAAGTGGATGCAAACATATTCTTTCAAGAACCACTGGGCAGAATATCACCGAACTTACACAGGGTGAGGAGGTGTTGTAGATAAATATTTGTACAAGATATCACCCTGACAAAGTCACGGCCTCAAGGTAACTTAAAATGTGACCTTAATTAATATTTTGTGAAAACTTTAATATTTTGGCCATATTATGACTAGGATAATCAAATCTTGTAAGTTGATGCATTGTATATACTCGTGTCATTCTGACTCAAACGTAAGTCATGATGATGTAATTTTTTAATTGAGAAGGTATTTATTTTCAAATTGATTTTATACATACCTTATACAAGACTATGATCATCAAAACTTGTCAGTATATGCATCATGGGGGCGATAAAGAGTGTCAACCAAAAGTTATGTCACCGTTACCTACTTTGTTAACTTTATGGCTAATCATTTTAAAACGATCTAGTTTATTATTTCTGATACTGAGAGGTTTAGAGTCATCAACCCTTTTAGGTTGGTGCATCATGGGACCTTGAAACTTTTTTTTGAAAATGTCAGGCAGTCTGACTTTCTTCTTGCATTTCCTGACATTCGCTTTCATTTTGTATAAATTTCGTATTTTTGACAATGTGAAGGCTAGGACAATCCATTATTGTCAGTTGATAAATGCGAAGGCCATGAAGTGTATCAACCAAAGAAATGGGCACAATGACCAACATTTAGTATATCATGGTTATATTAAAAGTTCATTGTTTTTGGTTAACAAGCTTTGAAGACCAAAGGTGTGTCAACTGCCAAATTCTGATGATTCTAAGCCTTTTATTATTTGAAATATTAAGATATGACCAAAAAATATTGAAAATAATTATTACAGTTACTTACTTTTTTTGTAGCACAATCTGAAGACCCAATATAGGTCAAACAACAAAGTTTGATGATTCTAAGACTCGTATTATATGAAAATTATACATACATGTACTGACTTGATTCTCCAAAAGTAGAATTGAAGTTAAGGGGGCGCATAAAGTAGGCTGGGGGTCTGGGGACCGCCCTGAGGCCTCCAATGGGTCCAGGGCGAAGCCCTGGTAGGGGCCCAGGGAGCGAAGCCCCAAGAAGCTTCTGGGTTCTAGAGATTTTGTAGGGTATAAATGAAGTCTACCGAGGAGACATTTTTGCATTTTCTCGATGAAACTATTATTTATGCTTTGACAATTTTAAGGGGGGGGGGGGGGGGAATTAATTCATTGTGTGTTTTATTAATTGGATTATATTTCATTAAGTTGACAGAACCTATGACGGTCTGTAAGTACAATTTTAGGTATAGATTGGGGTAAAATAATCTGAAATGCAAATGGTTAGGTTATAGTTTAAAAAGATCAAAGATCATCGGATGCCATAATAGAGGAATTTCACATTCTGAAGAGTTGTCTCCCCTTGTCGACGTAACGCTTATTTTTCTCACTTTCGTCCTTTGTAAGTTAGCCTGTAAATATTTCCAAACTTCAAACGCTATCGGGCAATTTTGATCCTTTCATGTATTTCCTATGGGGCAACATGAAAAAAAACATTTCAAACATAAATTTCATTTCTAAGAGTTTGTAACGGTGTAGCCTTACGCAGACTGACCCCAGATTGACTCGCAAAGGGAAATAACTTTAGTAAATGTGAAAGTCGTCCCGGGGGGGGGGGGGGTCTGCATTCCCATTCCCTTGATACTAAAACAATCTGAATCAGATAGCTATAAATAAATTTGGAAACCTCAAAGCCGTCTTTGTATTATGACAGATTAAATGGAACACTCTCCCCAAGTTTCCCCGCCCATTCCCTGTCCCTGAAATGACAAAAGATCATGTAACTTAAAAATGGTTAACAAACTTTTCCATTTGACTATACATAATTTTGTTTCTTGTGTTATTATGTCTTTAATGGTATTCAAAAGTGCATCAATAATAAGTTTGCTTGACATTCCATTCATGAATTTGATTGATTGATTGATTGATTGTATGTTGTATTACGTCCCATTCGAGAATTTTTCACTCATATAGAGACATCACCATATACCGGTGAAGGGTTTCAAATTTTGACCTTTACTCGGCACTCAGGGCCATTGAGCAGTGAGGGATCTTTATCATGCCAACGCCTACCTTGACACTGGACCTCAGTTTTTAAGGTCTCATCCGAAGGACCCGCAACTTTCACTTCAAACTGCGCATGGCGAAGGAACAGTTGCTACCCATTTTTAGCTCACCTCAACGAAGTTGGGGGAGCTTATGTAATACCCTCGGCTTCGGCGTTCCAGGTTAAGGTTTTTGGAGCAGTTTTCTTTTCAAGTACTCCTATGGCCTATATTAGTCAGAGATGCATGGAGGATGCTTCTAGTGTGTTTTATTGTACAAGTTAAGGTTTCAGATGCTGCAATTTCAGCTAAAGAATGACCAGGTTAATGTTTTTGGAGCAGGTTTAAGTTTTTGGAGCAGGTTAAAGTTTTTGGAGCAGGTCTCATTTCCAAGTAACTATAAGCCCTATATTGACCAAACTTGCATGGATGATACATCTAAGGATGCACACTACTGAACTTGCTTCGGATGCTGGATCTGACCTACATTTTCCGGATGAGTGACTAGGTTAAAGTTTTTGGAGTAGATCTCATTTCCAAGTAACTATAAGCCCTATATTGACCAAACTTGCATGGATGGTACATCTCAGGATGCACACTACTGGACTTGCTTCGGATGCTGGATCTGACCTATATTTTCCGGATGAGTGACTAGGTTAAAGTTTTTGGAGTAGATCTCATTTCCAAGTAACTATAAGCCCTATATTGACCAAACTTGCATGGATGGTACATCTCAGGATGCACACTACTGGACTTGCTTCGGATGCTGGATCTGAACTATATTTTCCGGATGAGTGACCAGGTTAAAGTTTTTGGAGCAGATCTCATTTCCAAGTAACTATAAGCCCTATATTGACCAAACTTGCAATGATGATACATCTAAGGATGCACACTACTGGACTTGCTTCGGATGCTGGATTTGACTTATATTTTCCGGATGAGTGACCAGGTTAAAGTTTTTGGAGCAGATCTCATTTCCAAGTAACTATAAGGCCTATCTGAACCAAACTTGCATGGATGATGCATCAAGGGACGAACAATCTCAAACTTGCTTGGGACGCTGGATTTAACTTACATTTTTTGGATGAGTGACTAGTTTTAAGCTTTCAGATAAGTCTATTCCCAAGTAACTGCAAGCCCTATCAGACCAAAATTGCCTAAATGTTGGATCTAGAGATGCACACTCCTAGACTATGAGTTTAGTGTGGGACTTTGCCTTACTTAAAGACAACATTCGTTGAGGTGAGCTCTGTAATCTCTGATTGCATATGTTTTATCGACTTGGGTCAGTCGCGGCCGAGATTCTAACTCACGATCTCCCGATCACGGAGCGAGCGCTCTACCGACTGAGCTACCGTGAACGTTTTTCATGATTTTGGATCAACCCACTCTTTTAGAATGAGGAATGAAAATTATTCAGATCGAGAGATGCACTATTAAACTATTTGTATATATTCACATTTTTTTTAAATGTCAAAACCAAGTACTGGTTTGCGTACATGAACAAACTGGGGTGGGGAATGGGAAGGGGAAACGGGGGGGGGGGATATTAACCCCACTTCTGACTTGTCATCATTATTTATAATTACTCTTCTCACAACATACATGTACATGTACATGTTTATTAGTCAACAGATATAGACTTTTGGTCATATGTCTAGTTCTCCCTTGAATCAGGAATGTTGATATAAACATTTTAAGATTGATTAAGGTCTTGCATCTTAAAATTGTGGTTGAATTAGCTATACTAGTTTAGCTTTATTTTGATACTCAAAACACCTTGATTAGCTATTTATATAAATTTATCATACTATTTTCTGAAATGTGCAGTTCTCTTTTCAACGTGGATAAAAAGTCATACTATGGTGACATGGAATACATTTTCAGCTTTGAACTATTCTGAAAACAATGCATGAAAATGCATGAAAAAACACTGCTTTTCAAATATTATAGCTCTTTTTTTAGGACTTGTGATCTAACATAAGTTTTCGGTTCACTTTAGCTTTTCTGATCACATTTTGTCTGTCGTCCGTCTGTCCGTCTGTAGACTTTTTCACATTTTTTATTTCTTCTCTAAAACCACAGGGCTAATTTCAACCAACCTTGCCATAAAGCATCCTTTGAGTAAAGGGGATTCAAGTTTGTTCAAATGAAGGGCCACACCCTCTTTCAAGGAGAAATAATTAAGAATTGGTGAAAAATTGGTGGTATCAGAACCACTGGGCCAAAAACGTTAAAACTTATATGTAACGTTCTTTACATAATGTAAATATAAATTTGTTCAAATCAAGAACCCCTGGGGTAGGGTGGGGCAACACTAGGGGATCCAAAGTTTTACGTAGAAATATGCAGGGAAAAAATTTCATAAATCTTCTTCTCAAGAACAGCAAGGGCATTATTAGTCATATTGATAAGGAAAAATCCTCAGATAGTGTAGATTCAAGTTTTTTTCAAATCATGATCCCCAGAGGTAGGGTGGGGCCATAATAAGGGATCAAAGTTTTACATAGAAATAAAGGGCAAAAAAATCTTCAAAATTCTTCTTAAGAACAAGACCATAATTAGTCATATTAATATGAAAACTTCTCAAGTAGTGTAGATTCAAGTTTGTACAAAT